TCTTGGGTAGAATAGTTTGTTGGTGGGTTGTATGAAGGACCTGTCTAGTTCGGCCGGCGGGCCTGCTGTCTCGCGTCAGGTGTTTGTTTGTTGTGGGATCTGATAGTGAGGTACGGGCTACCCCTTTATATACCTTCCTTTGGTGCTTTACTTTCATTGTTCCTTGATAATGTGAGTAGTCACGGATGCGCTTGGAACTTTTCTATTCTTTCACAGTGATTGTTTTGCATATATATATATATATATATATATTATATATTTTATATATATATATATATATATATATATATATATATATATATATATATATATATATATATATATATAATCGATGGAAAGCAGCAAATTTCTTTGACAGACGAATGAAACACGGGCAAAAGAGGTCTGTATATTTCGTCTTCAGCCAGAGACCTGTTTCTTAAGAGTGTCTCAGTGACGGGTATCAAGGTACGAGTATATCTTGGTTATAAGTGGGACACTTGTGCAACACTTCGGTGTCTTTAATGTTGAGCTCATTTGTCTGGACAAGAGGCTTGTTCAGTCAAATACAGGTATTTTACGTTAGGGACAGTAGATGTGACTGACAACCTTCCTTAAAGGCTAAGGGAATGACCATATTCCATCAAGGCTAAGGGACCGATCCCCTTCCATCAAGGCGAAGGGACTGAAAACTTCCATAAAGGCTAAGGGACTGACTACCTCTATTCTTCTTGTGCTACTCTCTTTAGTGTTATAATCACTTATATTTGACTGAAGAAGCCTACCTTGCTGACGAAATATTCCTACAGTGAAGTACTTAAGTGCTGCCAAAGTGTCTTATTCATCAACTCATCGGTATTTTGCAACATTTATAATACGATATTTAGGCAGCGTATCTGTCTGGCTATTGGTAGACGGAGGATCGAGCTTCCACCACTCCTAGTTGTTAACGTAACTTTTTTTAAAATGCAATTAAAATATTGACCTCATGCAAAAATCATGTAATTAATAAACATCCATCTAGGGAGAGCTTAATATCCCACCCAGGGATTTCTAATATTCCTGCAGGGAAATACTTTAATATCTCACACGGGGATAACTAATGAATATCGAGAATATGAAAGATATAACATGTTGGACAAACTATCTTGTATTATCCTACCTCCTGAAATGTCTGAAATATATTGTCTACCGAACACACGTAGACCAAGATAATATTGTCTATGGAAGTCCTGCCGGTTGAGTCTTGGTTTGACTGGTGTATGGTAGGGTATACAAAGGCATTATGGTGCCTCCTCCTCGTCCTCTTTCTCCCGTGTCCACCTCTCCTGTGGGAAGCCAAGTAACCGTCAGCATAAAATCCCATCTCAACAAAGCCTACTAAAGATATCCTAGGAAGCTAAATAGTGTGTGCTCATCGTGTTAGCTCAGCTGCTTGTGAAGGCACACTTGCCTCCTCTCGTGAAGCTCCAACAAACATCACCCACTTAATGTAAACACTAGGCAAATGTACAAACATTCGAGAGAGAGAGAGAGAGAGAGAGAGAGAGAGGAGAAAGAGAGAGAGAGAGAGAGAGAGAGAGAGAGAGAGAGAGAGGAGAGAGAGAGAGAGAGAGAGAGAGAGAGAGAGAGAGAGAGAGAGAGAGAGAGAGAGATAGGGGAGGGAGGAAGAAAAGAGAGATTATATGCAGAATAATTTGTTTCCTCTAAAAGTTAGTCCTTGATTTTTTGGTAGAAGGCTGCTGGTACTGCTGTTTCTTGTTGCTGTTGTTATTATGTTGCTGCTGCTGTTGCTGCTATTTAAAACTGCAACTGTTGAAGCTGCTGCTAGCACAGATAACTTTGACGTTAGGGATTCTGACGACATCGTTGCTGTAGCTAACCTGCTGCTGGTACTACTAACTGCTACTGCAGCTGCAGCTATTAAGACTACCGCCGCACCTAGTAACACTACCACTGCAGCTAGTAACACTTCCGCCACAGCTAGTAACTACCGCAACAGCTAGTAACACTGCTGCCGCAGCTATTAACACTACAGTCGCAGCTAGTAACACTACCGCTGCAGCTAGTAATACTACCAATGCAGCTAGTAACACTGCCGCCGCAGCTAGTAACACTACCGCAGCAGCTAGTAACACTGCCTCCGCAGCTATTAGCGCTACCGCCACCCGCATACAACCATTTAAACTAAAACAAGCACAGAGGCGGAATCCGGGATCCAACATGGAGGTGCGTCAGACCATTAAAAATTTAAAACCCCGTCAAATATTCACAGTACAAGTCCATTAAGTTTGTATGTGGGATGGCACCGAGGGTATGGTGTAGTAACCTAGGAAGTGCCGCTAATTTGAATGTAGTGCCCATAGAAAGTGCCGCTAATTTGAATGTAGTGCCCATAGAACGATAGTTTGTTATTTATGAACGATAGTTTTCTTTCTGTAAAAAGATATAGACAATAACAACACCTGCTATTTCTATTATTGCAAATACTGCTGTTTCTACAACTACTATTATTTAACTATTACTAATACTACTACTGTTCATATATATATATATATATATATATATATATATATATATATATATATATATATATATATATTATATATATATATATATTATATATATATATATATAATAAATTATATATATAAATATATATATATATATATATATATATATATATATATATTATATATATATATATATAATATATATATATATATATCTGTGTGTGTGTGTGTGTGTGACTTTTGTACCGTAATACAGATTGTGAAATTTACAGCAATGAATTAAGTTAAACTGACCTACACCTATGTACTACCACAATTATTACTAGCATTATTATAACCGCTATTACTATTTTGTACCATTCTGGCCGTGGTGGTGTATGGGGATGACTCAGTGTGCGTCACTGGTGGTGTCACTGCTGTACGTCTGGAGGCTGGTGGTGAACGCTAGACATCCCCAGCATCTTCAAGACGTCTACTACGGTAAGTTTTTTTCCTCTACTTTCTCTCTCCTCCTCCTCCTCCTTCTCTTCTTCTTCTTCTTCTTCCTCTTTTTTCAGCTCCACCTTCTCTCTCATCTCATCCTGGTGTTTATTTCCTCGTATTCCTTCTCCTCGTAACATCTTACCTCTAACACTCATCTTTTTTTCATTAACAATTTTTAATCTCACTAAATTACCCCCCTCACAAAAGTAATTGTGTCACACATAATTACAACTGCCAAATGTTATCAAAAGTTACAAATTTAATTACAGATCCCCTAAAAGTAATCACAATTTCCATTTACATTTACAAGTTTCGAATGTATTTACAAGTGTTAAATATAATTGGAAGTGCTAAAAGTAATTATAACACTAGACTGCAACATGTGGATCTCACAACGTGATTTATACACTGTAATAATTAATGTGAAAATATTTATCAGGTAAATAGAGTAATATGAATACATCAAAATGCCGCTTCATCTCCTGTCGAAGTTATTACCGTATTTCAAGTGACAGAAATACTCATTTTTATTTGCTGCAGTTTTATTGTATTAAAAATACTAATGATGATAATACTTATAAATATATTTACCCTATATAAGAGAGACCAGTGTGCTACGTATTATTATTATTATTATTATTATTATTATTATTATTATTATTATTATTATTATTATTATTATATATATATGTCGTGCCGAATATGTAAAACTGGTCAATTAGCAAGAACTCATTTAAAATTAAGTCCTTTCTAAAAATTTTCTCTTATACGCTTAAAGATATTTTTTTTTCATTAATGATAATGTAAAAATTTATAATTTTGCACCAAAAGAATCTGAGAAAACTTACCTAACCTTATTATAACAAGAAAAATTTATTTTAGCCTAACTCAACTAAATATATTTTAGATACGTTTAAAATAATTTAATACTAAACAAACATAGTGAAATATATTTTTTTTCGTTAGGTTCAGAATGATTTTGGCGAAATTATTGCATACATAAATTTTCACTTGTCTTACATGGCAAGATGAGCGTTGCTATTTAAGCCAAGATCGCAAGTTCTGCTATTCGGCACGACATATATATATATATATATATATATATATATATATATATATATATATATATATATATATATATATATATATATATATATTATATATATATATATATATTATATACATATATATATCCTAATGTTTATAGGTAATTAGGGTTATTAATTCAGGTGTTCAGATTTCGTACCTGTCTACTGTGTGTACACACATCACACTAGTTATACTGAGCACCTTCCTCATCGTCGGGATATGCAAGGTTAGTAGTTGTTGTTGTGACTGTAGTAATGGTACTAGTTATAGAAGTAGTTTTAATGGAAGTTGTAGTAGTAACAGCAGCAGCAGTAGTAGTAGTAGTAGTAGTAGTAGTAGTAGTAGTAGTAGTAGTAGTAGTAGTAGTAGTAGTAGTAGTAGTAGTAGTAGTAGTAGTAGTAATAGCAGTCGTAGAAGTAACAGGTTTAAAAATGTCTTCGTATGTGCACTAAGAAAATGCTTTAAGAAATAAGATAATTTCAGATGGTTTTATTATCAGCCTAATTAGTTGCATTATTACATTACCTTTTTTTTTTGATCAAAATTACGCGTGTTATATTTTACTGTATTTACTGATTTTTTTTTTTTTTTTGGTGTGTCCCGAGTAATTTCCCTTGATTACCCTGGAGGGAAAAAAGTTCTAATATGTGGGAAATAATGGAGAATTCAATACTTTTTTTCTTTGAATTTTTCACAATATTTAAGGCTGTAACCAGAGAATAATTTACTGTAATTCATTCATTTTATTCACGTTGGGAATATTGTACATTTCGAGAGAAAATCATATTAAACAGAAAAAAATGTACGCATAAAAAAAATTATGTTTTTTTTTTGTCCTCTCGACTAGGGTTGCCTGAAATTTTAAATGGAAAAAATCCATTACGATATTTTCTCATATCACATTAGGTAAGAACTCTGGGTTGTCGAGTGAAATATAAATGCATTTTTCTGGTTTTGGAACTTAAAAAATAAATTATCCTTACAATTTAAATCAATGTAGGGAGAAAGGGAGAGGGAGAGGGGAGAGGAGAGAGAGAGAGAGAGAGAGAGAGAGAGAGAGAGGAGAGGAGAAAAGAGAGAGAGAGAGAAACAGAGAGGAGGACACAGAGAGAAACAGAGAGAGAGAGAGAGGAGGAGGGAAAGAGAGAGAGAGGGAAAGGAGAGGAGGAGGAGAGAGAGAAGAGGAGGGAGAAGAAGGGGGAGAGAGAGAGAGGGAGGGAGAGAGGGAGAGGGAGAGAGGGGAGGAGAGGAGGGGGGGAAAGGAGGCGGGAGGGGCAGAAAAAAAAAGGGGAAAAAAGGGAGGGGGAAAGGAGGAGGAAACAGAGGAGAGAGAAACAGAAGAGGGGAGAGAGAGAGGAGAGGGAAGAGAGGGAAAAGAGAGAGGAGGGAAGAGAGAGAGGAGAGAGAGAGAGGGAGAGAGAGAAGAGAGAGGGGGAGAGGGGGAGAGGGGAGAGAAAAGAGAGAGAGAGAGGGGGGAAAAAAGGAGGGGAAGAGAGAGGGAGAGAGAGAGAGGGGAGAGAGAGAGAGAGAGGGGAAAAAGAGAGGGGAGAGAGGGAGAGAGAGGGGAGAGAGAAGAGAGAGAGAGAGAAGAGGAGAGAGAGAGAGAGAGGAGAGAGAAGAGGGGGAGAGAGGGGGGAAGGGGGAGAGAGAGAAAAGGGGAGGAGAGAGAGAGGGGAAAAGGAGAGGAGAGAGAGGGGGGAAGGGAAGAGAGAGAGAGAGAGAGAGGAGAAAAGAGAGAGGAGAGAGGAGGGGAGAGAGAGAGAGGGGGGGAGAGAGAGAGAGAGGAGAGAAACCCTACAAATCTCCAGAAAGGAGTAGAAATTAGCATCCCCCAAAAACATCCCTCAAGCCCCCTTCCAGCGCATACTTTAAACACACCCCAGCAATTATCTACCCTAACGGCTTTCTTCTTTAAAATTGTTAGCACAGCCCCTGCTATCATACCGAGGCCCCTGAGATGCTCATACATCAATTACCTTCAAAAAAATTTTACTTTTCCCCATTTCCCCCCTTTGTCATAATTTATCTTTCTGTTGCTTCTTTTCCTTTCATTCCTTCTTTGTATTGTAGTTCATGCATGAAAGATTAATAATTTGGTTTGATTAGGATTGATCCCAGGAAGAATGAGTGGATACACTTCCAAGATGAAGGACTCTTGAAGGGTAGTGAGAGTGAGTACAGGGAGTACGAGAGTACTAGTTATTGTTTACCTCTGATGTATGCAGAGGTGAAAGAGAGTGAGTGAAAGCGAAAGTGAGAGTAAGACAGGCAGAGTACATGTTACTTCTTACCCCTGATATGCAGGAGAGAAGTGAGAGAGAGAGAGAGAGAGAGAGAGAGAGAGAGAGAGAGAGAGAGTGGAAGGGAAGAGCTGAGGTTGCTGCTTACCTTTCATATATCCAGGAAAAGAGAGAGAGAACGAGAGAAAAGAGAGAGAGAGAGAGAGAGAGGAGAGAGGAGCTTAGAACTTACCTTTTCCATTCCTGAGTGGTGAGAGGCTGTCAGACATGGAGGTGTAAGAGAGGTGCATCCACAGGAGCGGTGTGGGCTGGTCACACCCTGGGTGGTGGCTAGTATCACCTTCATGGCACTCGAGGCCGTCTGCTGCATGTACTCTAACGTACTCAGGGACCACATTAACAAGGTAAGATCACATACATCACATCAGAAAGGTAAGATCACAGATATCATATCAACACAGTAAGATCACAGTAATCACATCAACATAGTAAGATTACAGAAATCACATCAATATGTTGATGTGATCACATAGAAACCACTGTACGGGTGGGGTTTGAACTCGCAGCAAGTGAGTCGTAAAACTCCAGGCCATTGCGATTGCAATCGGGTCATTACGACTTCATGAGTTAAAATCACATAGAACACATCAACATAGTAAGACATCAGCATAGTAAGACATCAACATAGTAAGATATCAACATAGTAAGACATCAACATAGAAAGACATCAACATAGTAAGACATCAACATAGTAAGACATCAACATAGTAAGATGACAGAGAGCACATCAAGAAAGTAAGATCATCAACCCTCTGTTATGCTCATACAAACTAATATATAACAAAAAACGCTTTTAAAAAAATGCGTAACTGAGAGCATACAAAAATAAAAACAAGCTCAAAGGTTTCGTGTATTCACGCCAACGTCTTCAGAAGAACCATGGAGGAAAGAAAGAGTAACACATACACAAGTTAAAATTTAAGATAAAAACATCATATAAGAATCTGATTATAATTTATAAGTGGTTTTCGCTTTTTTAAATATCTGAAGATGTGTGTGTGAACTCCCGAGAAAGCATAAGTTTTTTTCCACTAAGGAAATTTTGTATATATGAATTATTGACTATGAGCAGTTTTAAAGGAAAGTGAGGAAATGTATTTTAAAATATAATTAAGAATCGGTTTAATTTTTCACAA